GGTTAGTGTTGGCAGAGCATACCTCTCCCCCCCGTGTTGTTTTCGCACTTTCATCAATGCCGGGTGGGTAGCGTTTAAACGTTCCCCACACGCTAGTCTCCTGAGTAATGAAATTCGAGAGGGCGAGGAGGAAGGAGGGGGGGGGAGAGCAGGCGGGGGGCAAGCAGGGGGGGGCCCGCCCCCGACACGATCCGACCCGACCCGCGACCGCCCGCCCGATCCGCCCCCGCGATTCGCCGACCCGAATCCGCCGACGATCGCCCAGCGCCAGAATCAGAACGACGAGACTGCATTACTGCGGCACAAGGTATGTGCGTAGGAGGGTTTTGGGGGAGTTGGAAGTGTAAAATGAAAGGGGTTCTGCGGATGCACGGACCCAAAGGGCAGTGTTGGGGTGAGGCAATGTAGAGAATTGTTCAGGGATGTGTAGGGGTGGAATTGGAATGATGGGAGAGCAGGTGGGAGGTGTTGTGTTGGGGGGGGTATCGGGGGGGGGGAGGCAACAACCCAATGCCACGGGCATGGGAGTGACCACGTCTTAAGGCCGGGGCCACGCAGGACGTGCGTGTGGGAACAACCCTGTCCACACCACCCACCCGCCTCCTTGCCTGTCCCTTTCCCCTCCCCATCCCCGTGGCCCCTCTACCCCTTTTTCTTCCTTTTCTTTCTTTTTCCCCACCCCCCCCCCCCCCCCATTTCCTAGCCCATTTATTGAATTTTTCCCCCCCCCCCCCCATTTTTTTTTCCCTCACATGTGAACACTGATTCGATCATTCCCATACAAAACTGATGCATATAGACTCGATCGACCGTCTTAAGGCCGGCTAACATTAGAGCAAATAGCGATATTTTACATTCACACAATCGAGTCCACATTTCAACAGCAATCATTTATTCATCAAAAATACTTGGGGAACCATTGGCGAGGAAATGTGAGGTTCCAGCTACTGGCCAACTGACGAGGCTAACAGCAGGTTTTATCTCGACTAAGCCACCTGTGTTTATTTTCATGGCTACCATGTTTTTGAACTGTGTATGGCTGCAACTGGATTAAAAGATTTACGGGCTTATAACAGGTGCCTGTTTATAGCGCTGACTCGGGGAAAAGTGATTTCTATCACCAACTAAACGGGCTGTCGTCACAGAGGAAGTACGGATACTGTAGTGCTAGCTAGTGATCTGAACGCTCAGGTTTGAACATTATCCAATGATAATCTGCATCTGGGCCTCCAACACGGTGTGGGTCCCTGTAATGATAACGATGAGCGGTCGCTACATTTGTATGAAGATGCTCCTCTTTCTCACAAGTACTACTTCCCGACACAGTATCTGCCGAAGGTTGTCATCGCACTTGCGATCCTGGGAATATCCGTGGACGCACAGTGATCACGTCACGATATTACCATTGGAATGGTTGAATACAGAACCATCGATCGATTTGGATCACGAACGTGGACTCTGACCATGTGCTGATCTACGGTTGCGTTTCGGCGGACACTGGCGACTGCACCCTGCGTGCATAGATACTTGTCAACTGGTGAAACCAGCCGTTCCGAATGCATGTCAGCGTACGCACGTAGGCCGCTGAGCAAGCGCTCCTTTGAACGCAGTTGTAAGTCACTGATTACCTATTCGCCAAACCCTATCAGCAACAGGTATGTCTTCTTGTGGTAAATCCGATTGCCATCATGGGCACTGGGTTTCCACACAGTCTCTGGAACTTTTGGATGCTGGCCGATTCACGTCTGCTAAGAGCGAACACAACAAGACTCGCAAGAGTCTAGGGGAAAATTACGTGCCAGCCTAAGAAAACTTCGAGACCTGGTGGTCTCATCAAGCATCGGAGACGGAAACAGCCGCTACCGATGGTAATCATCTTAAGTCATTTCGTCTGCTGCGGAAAACAGGCAGCAAGTGACCTGATGTTAGCGAATCTGTGTACAACAACAGTTGATAGCCTATCCACAACTTGTTGAGAATCGGCTCAATCGGCCGGTACTAAAGTATTCGCTGCCAGCCAGTAATCGCTATACCCCCTGGACCGTCCCCCTGGATCCTTCATCTCGCGCACTACTCGAACTGTTGAAGTTGAACAGGCTTACGGGACCAGATGGGCTTATTCTAGCCCTCTACAAATTCGGAGATCGACTCTTATGGACGATTTGCATAGTTTCTTGGTGAAACTGGGAGCAGGAAACTGTCCCGATATTCAAGGGGCTCATTTTCGGAGTGCGGCAATCATTCAGCAATCCGTCCGATCTCTAACTTGCGTGCCTCTGTCATTCTTCATGTACTAGCGCTCCCAAAAGCCAGATTCGTGAAGTGTAGGCCGAGTTTAATCGAAATCAGGGTTACAGTAACCACTACTTGTGATTGGGTCAACGTCATACATCTTGGCGATCCACTGTGGTTGTGTTCCACAACATTGAAGGAGCCTTCGATTCGGTAGATCAATGTGCCCTTTATGACTGTTTGAGCGGGAAAGGTGTGCTCGAGAACTACGCGAATATCATCAAGTGTCTTGTGCGCAATGTCGTGGCAGAGTGAGAGCTTATGCCAAGCTGTCTCCAGCAGCATGAGACAAGGATGCCCACTGTCACTTTTCCTTTTTAACCTCGCTATTGTTGCAGTTATTGTAGCTGCATTCTCTGTATATGACTTGAAAGGTGTGGAACATGTTCCAGGTGATTCTTCTTGATTTGAAGTCATCATCATTCATCATTATACACGTCAGCTAGAGGTGGGAACACACCTCCGCTATTGTGCCGCAATACATGGAAGAAATGGTTGGCGGCATCCGGTTTCGGATTTGCCTGTCACTGTGGCCAGCCGCAGGACGCCTGCGCCTACAGAGGGACCATCGGTGGCTTGCGCTGCACCACCCACAGCTCCAACCACATACCATATCCAGTGTAAACCCGAAGGAATAAGACCGGGAGGCATGCGGATGGGAGCCACGTTTTATCAACGGAGCCGGCCCACACTCCTTCACAGGCAAACACAAGCACGTTGTATTTGGGGAAGCAAGCGCACACAAGACGGTGGCTGGACCGTAGTCCGCTCCACACTGAGTGCATGGAACCACTCTCTGATCCTAACACGTCCACAAGGACCGTGCACCCCGTCCCCTCCAGCAACGACCAACTGTCTCCTGGAGCCAGTATGGACGAGGTAGTGGGTAATAGACAGGTAGGCGCCTTGTCAACATGCACATCAAGCGCAGCCACATGGGGGATATCAAGCAACAGCCAATCACTTGAGAGAAAGATAACAAAGAAAATAACTCGATTAATGCATAAGGAAAGGGTGACATATATCTTAAAGTAATGAGCATCTGAAGTAAATTGTTTACAGAAGAATGCGAGATAAGTTCACGAGGACAGAAAGTATACTTTACGGAAATGCCACGAACACAAAAGTGTTTTCGAAAAGGACTAAAATTGGCTTAAGTGACGTGTGCAAGTTTATATAAGAGAGTACAGGCAGACATTTATATGAGAAAGCAAAGCATTGGGACAAAATTGAAAACCCACCACCTGAAATCAATAGACTTAGCATGCAAGCACGCGGTTAGTAGATCGAATGCAGCGTACCTACAAACGCCGCGCCGGTTCTGCCTACGTTCTCTGCAGAACCCGTCGGCGCTTCGGTAGTAGTCCCGAGTGGCCTCGCTCATGGCTCACTAGGCCTGCCTGACTCAGGCACTCGCGACCGCATGTGCTACAGCACCATGCACTCGATATCGATGGAGTACAACCCATCGGTGCTTGACGCTTCCGCACTTGCCGCTTCTTCTCTGCATGCATGAGGTCTTTCTCCAGCACTTCAGCAACTGCCTTCGTGATGAGATCGCGCCATACGCGCCGATCAACCGCTTTCGATTCCCATGACCTGCAATCAAGATTAGAATGTGTGAGACTCACTTTGATCATGTCCTGGTAACGTAACTTTGGTTTCCCCACGTGCCGCTTCCCAATACTCAGCTGAACGTGAAAGAGTTGTTTCGGTATCCGAGTCGAATCCATACGCCACACATGACCGAGCCATCTCAGGTGTCTCAGCAAAAGTATGCAGTCCACTGCATACATCCCACTTCGGCGCAACACTTCCGTGTCTGCAATTCTGGCGCCCCAACCGGTGCGCAAAATTCGTCGCAGACACTGCTGATGGAACCGCTCGAGATATCGCACATTCCGACGGTACATCGTCCACGTTTCACTGCCGTATGGAAGAACGGACAGTACCATGGATTTGTACACCATCAGCTTTGTGCCAATGCTGAGCTGATGGCTGTTCCACACTCGGCACTCAAGCTTCCCGAATGCCGCTGCTGCCTTTTACACGCGGATACGAAGCTCACTGTGTATCTGCTGATCAGTCGACATCACACTCCCAAGGTAGCTGAAGCCGGAGGTGATTTCCAATACTTCAGCACCAATGCTGATTCGCGGCAAGATTGAAGATTGCACCTCCGGTGAAAGCTGAAAGAGACAGACAGTTTTGCTTGTGTTGATGGTGAGCCCAAATTTTGCCGCTGTCGAAGCCAGAGCACTAGTCATGTGCTGCAACTCATCCGCGCTGTGTGAAAACAACACACAGTCGTCAGCGGACAGCAACATACGGATAGTTGTCTCACAGACTAGAGTTCTCGCATCGAAACGACGGATGTTCAGCAACCCACCATCAATACGGTGCTCCACACGAACACCGTAAGCATAAGCGGCATCAAAAGCACAAGACAACATTGCATGAAGATAGATATTAAACAGGGCAGGAGCTAAGACACAGCCTTGCTTCACACCAGAGACAACTGTAAAGTCATCCGAGGTCTCTCCACTCAGCTGCACCCTCACTCGCATACCACTGTGCAGACATTCAATGAAACTTACAAACCTACGTAGGCAACCAAACTTACCCAACACCAGCCACAATGCCTCACGGTTCACCGTATCAAATGCTTTGGTGAAATCAACAAAAAGCGAGTACAATGGCTGGTGTCG